ATTAAAAAATATTAAAAGCTCCCATGAGAAGAAGAGAAGTTTCTGGCCAGTTCTAACTTAATACCACATGACCATTAGGGACCTTAAACCCCCAAAGTCTGTGAAATATAGAGATTCATCTCTTGTAGTTAAAAATAAATAAATAACAAATATCTTGGCTCTGAACTAGAAGTAGTACTAGCTGTGGATCTGGCCAAATTACTTAGACTCTGAGTTCCAGTTTTCTCGTACATAAAATTAGGAAACAACATCTGCTGCTCAGGGCTGATGAGAAGACTAAAAAAGGCGATGTGCCACGAAATGCTGGGCATAGGGTACACATTCAATAAAGGTGACTGTCACTGTTTTCATCGATGGACTTTAGGAAATTGGCATGCAGGAAGTTACATGACTCACTCAGGGCTGCCAGGCCTTCTAACTGATTCCTGTGAAATATGGTGGAAAAAGTAGTGAGCCTAGTACAGTACGACAGGGCTCAGCACACACGCTCTGCAAAGGTCCAGAAGTAAACCTGGGCTCTGCAGGGCAGAAGGGCTCCAGCAGGCACCCTGCAGCTGTGGCAGCAGCTTGGCAAACCAAGGCTCTCCTGAGGAGAAGGTGGGCAAGAACAACAAAGCCTGAGTTTGATGTGCATGCTCATGTCCACAGCACAGAAAGGAGAGAACTGCAGCACAGAACATCCTTGAGCAGGATCTCTAGGCTAGGGAGCTAAGAGGGCAAGGAAACTGGAACTTAAAGAATCTCAACTACTTCTCGACATAAGACTTAAAAAAAAAAAGAATCCTGACCACAAGAAAAAAAATTAAGCTTGATCTGTGAGTGTGACTCACTGTGATTCCTTATATTATCTAAGAAGTAGGAAAACTGTGTTTAAAACAAGCAGCCAAACCAGAGAGGAATATGATCAGTAAGTCTGTCCTAGAAGCAGATTCCCTCAGAAATCAATGAGTCGCCAATGGTGGAACAAGACAGAATGCACAGGCAAAACCCAGGCCTTTCCATCTGTAGGCCACATAGCAAACTTTGGGCGGAGGGGTCCCTTGGCAAGTTTGCTCCCTTCCCATTTTATTTCTGGCCATATGCCCATCGGTTCAACTGAACCTAATCCAACAGAACTAGAGGCATCTGTAAAAGATTTTCCGAGAAATGAAAATCTACTACAAACTGTGTAGTTCTGTATTGGTACATGTTTGATTCCACATATCTTAAACAAGGTTTCAGCATAGTACATGTCTTTGCTTCGACATGGTGTACAGGAACATTTGAGATTGTATGCCCTGCTAAAATTCAGTCTGTCACATGGTGTTATCTGCAAAGTAGTAAATGTTTCTAATTCAGTAAGTAGACTTTAGTGACTATACAACTAAAACATAAATGAGTGAATATTTCTTCTGTGAAGTAATGATTCTTTTTCTACATGAAAATGGATCAAATAAAAACTTACAGCTTAGCATATTTTTTCCTTTGTATAAAATGTGAAGAATGTGAATCCACACAAGGGAAGGAAGAATTGTTTTTAAAGTAACATGTGATTACACTAAATATGTATTAGTTTGGAAAAGAAAGTGAATACATCATGTTATTAAAATGTCCTAGTGTGTTTCTAAGTAACAGAATCTCTGTGGTCAAATAAACTTACATTAAACTATCAGCTGAAGATTCATTTGTTTTATTAAAATTGAGAATTACATTCACAAATATCGAATTTATATGTGAACCATTTGAAAAGCTAATTTAACTAGTATCATGACACTTAAAATAAAAAAATACATTATAAACGGTAAGCCTTTTCTCGGAAAGTAGTATAAACTGTAAGCCTTTTCTAGGAAAGTAGTTCTTAACTATTTGAAGGATAGACCCCTTTGAGAATATGTTAAAAGCTATAATGGACCCTTTTGCAGAAAAATACACATCTAAAAACACTTTGCAAGTATTAAAAGATTCATAAATTCTTTTCACAAATCCTCTAGGTATTCATATACCCAACTTAAGAATTCCTCTACAGGGTAACACTTTAATTAACAAAATAAATTTTACTGTAAATATTTCACTAGAGTGAAGGATAAAGCAAAGGATTATAATTAATTTAAAGCCAACTACCTTGTTTTCCCTAATTATTTAACATTTATTCTCCCATTAGTTGGTAATATTTTCAAGGTCACAGAAAAGTTGAAAAAAATAATACAATGAACATCTACATATGCTTCACCTACATTCACCAGTTAATAATATGCATGCTCCTCAACTTGTGATGGGTGACACCCTGATCAACCCACTGTTAGTTAAAATCTGAAGTCGAAATGCATCTCGCCTAACCTACCAAACATAGCTTAGCCTAGATTACTACAAATGTGCACAGAGTACTGACATTAGCCTCTAGTTGGGCAAAATAAGCTGACACAAAGCCTATTTCACAATAAAGAGTTGGGTATTTCATGTAACTTGTTGAATACTGTGCTGAAGGGGAAAACAGAATGGCTGCAGGGGTACTCAAAGTACAGTTTCTTCTGAATGTATGACTTCAGACCCTTGTAAAGTTGAGCAATCCTAAACTGAACCATTGTAAGTCAGGAACTATCTTTACGTTATAAAATTGCTTAATCTCTATCTCTCTTTCTATATCCATCCATCCATCCGCCCATCCATCCATATACTGGCATATATATATTTGCAGCCAGCCAGCCAGCCATCCATCCATCCATCCACCCCCCCACCCACCCACCCAACTATTCATTCATCCATTCATCTTTCCATCTTTCCATCTATCTATCTGTCAGTATGGAATGGGGTCTGGATGATTTAAATGTGTGTTGCAAGCCGGGCTCGGTGGCTCAGCCTGTGACCTCGTGCTTTGGGAGGCCGAGGTGAGTGGACTGCCTGAGCCCGTGGGTTCGAGACCCACCTGGGCAACTTGGCGAGACCTCATCTCTACAAGAAATTTAAAAATCAGCCGGGGTGGTAGCGCGTGCCTGTAGTTCCAGCTCCTTGGAAGGCTGAGCGGAAGGATCGCCGGAGCCCGGCAGGTCGAGGCCGCTGGACTCCAGTCTGGGCGGGAGTGAGACTCCAACTCAAAAAAAAAAAATGTATGTTGCAGACATCCTAATCTTTCATCCCAATACTTTAGTACAAATCTTTTGAGAATTAAGAAATGTTCTGAGGTTTCAAGCGAGATATGCGGGTGTGTGCTTGGGATGGCTGGGTAAGGTGGGGGTAGGTGGGTGGAAGGGAAGATGGGGGTAGGTGGGCGCTGCTTCCCTCTGACCCTAACAATACCCTCAGGAAAAAGCCTGTCTAAATCTGGATCTTACCCAGTGCAACTCCTTTCTTCCAAGGGACATAAAAAAGAAAAAAAAAAAAAAAAAAGAAAGAAATGTTCTTACATAACCATGAGACAATTATCAGTCTCTCAAATTATCAAACAAAAAATGTAACATTTATTTTCTCATATATACATATATAAAACCACAATGGTCCACACTCAGAACTCCTCAACTGTCTCAATAATGCCTGGTGCTGCTGTGTCAAGTTCAAGAACTAATTAAGATTCACGTACTGACCCATTATTATCCCTTAATCTAGAGTAGTGATTGCCTGCCTAAGTGTGTCTTTTACACCTTCACTCTTTTGAAGGGTCCAAATCCTTGCAGAATGTCCCATAAGCTGCATTTTTCTGATCATTTACTCACAACTCAACTTAGACTGAACATTTTTGGCAAGAATCTTACATAGCTGAGGTCATGTACTTCTTTGTATCATGTCAGGAGGCACAAAATGTCAGTTGTCCCATTATTGATGATTCTAAGTCATTTGCTAAGGTGGTGTCCTCTTCCCCTTGGGAATAATCTGCCACCCAGTAAACTTTCACCGAATACTTTTAGCTTCCATTGATGATCTTTGCCTAAATCAATTATTACATTGGTGGTTTCACAATACTGACTTTCTATGATTCCTTCTACCTTCATTAGTTGGCATTCTTCTGTAGATAAGGAAAAGCTCTGACCCCTTTAACCCTCTTTTCTCTGTTATTATAAAAAGAATTTCACACTTGCTGTGTCATAATCCACTGCCATCTTCTTTTTGAAATGCTTAAACTGCCCCTTTATGGTGGCTTCTATGTTCCATTTCTGAGTCTTTGGTAAATGATGCACACTTTCATATAAATACAACAAGCTTTTTCAGGCACACCTACATTCTCTGGCCCAGACTCATTATGGCCATTTCTCCAAAGGGCCCTGATTCCTTCTAGTGGGAAACAGTATTTAGAAACACATATCTGGAAGCCAGATGTGCTTACTGCTCTCAGGTTCTCTCCGTGTAAAGAGGTGGAAATTTGTGCCAAACAAAACCATCACCTGTACAGTTTCCTCAAAACAAGCTGACTTTTGAAACAGTCCTTAAAAACATCTGACACAAAATATAATACACTAAATTGTGTAAGTCTTTCATTTCTCACAAATTCAACTGGACTGACTTTAAATGATAATTTATCATATTAATTAATTTTTCAGAACTCAAAACCTCAGGTAGGATGACAACAGCGAGCTCAGCCCGTGGCACTGAAGAAGCCAGTCCCCGAGAGGACAGGGCTGAGAGGAGAAGGCTGTGTGTGAGGTCAGGCAGCAGAGAACCAGGGAGGTGTCCCCTAGATGCTCTGTGATTCCCTGCCATGCAGGCTGTCAGGGTTGGTTTTGTCAGATCATATGTTTCAAAACGTGCTGTAAATCTGGACTTTGATACGAAATTTTCTGGTTTTACAACAACCTATGCTCCTAACAATCTCCAAATACTGTCCATGAGTTTCAATCTACACCGTAAATTCATTATAAGCCAAAGTGCCAAGTCCACTACAAGAGACATTCGAATATCAAAACTCATGAACTCTGAACCATCTATTCTTTCACAGAAGTTTTTGTGACCCTCCACTACATGAAAAAATCGTTTTCGCAACAACTTTGACACCGGACCACAGGTATTGGTGAAAGTCACCCCTTAAGGCCAAAATGGGAAAGGAGAAGAGGCACCTCAACATCGTCGTCATTGGACATGTCAGTTCGGGCAAGTCCACCACTACTGGCCACGGGACCTACCAATGTGATGGTATAGACAAAAGAGCCATTGAGAAATTCAAGGAGGAGGCTGCTGAGATGGAAAGGGCTCTTTAAAATATGCCTGGGTCTTGGATAAACTGAAAGCTGAGCATGAGTGTGGTATCGCCACTGATAACTCCCTGTGGAAATTTGAGACCAGCAAGTACTACGCCACTATCACTGATGCCCCAGGACACAGAGACTTCATCAAAAACATGATTACAGGCACATCGCAGGCTGACTGTGCTGTCCTAATTGCTGCTGCTGGTGTTGGGGAATTTGAAGTCGGTATCTCCAAGAATGGGCAGACCCGTGAGCATGCCCTCCTGTCTTACACACTGAGTGTGAAACAACTAATTGCTGGTGTTAACAAAATGGATTCCACTGAGCCACCCTACAGCCAGAAGAGATATGAAGAAATTGTTAAGGAAGTCAGCACTTACATTAAGAAAATTGGCTACAACCCTGACACAGTAGCATTTGTGCCAATTTCTGGTTGGAATGGTGACAACAAGCTGGAGCCAAGTGCTAACAAGCCTTGGTTCAAGGGATGAAAAGTCACTCGCAAAGATGGTGATGCCAGTGGAACCCCACTGCTTGAAGCACTGGACTGCATCCTGCTACCAGCTCATCCAACTGACAAGCCCTGTGTCTGCCGTTCCAGGATGTCTACAAGATTGGTAGTATTGGTACTGTCCCTGTGGGCCAGTGGAGACTGGTGCTCTCAAACCTGGCATGATGGTTACCCTTGCTCCAGTCAATGTTACAACTGAAGTAAAGTCTGTTGAAATGCACCATGAAGCTTTGAGCAAAGCTCATCTGGGGGACAACGTGAGCTTCAATATCAAGAATGTGTCTGTCAAAGACGTTTACTGTGGCAACGTTGCCAGTGACAGTAGAAATGATCCGCCAAAGGAAGCAGCTGGCTTCACAGCTCAGGTGATTATCCTGACCCATCCAGGCCAACCAGCGCTGGCTGTGCCCCTGTACTGGATTGTCACACAGTGCACATTGCATGCAAGTTTGCTGAGCTGAAGGAAAAGATTAATTGCCATTCTGGTGAGAGCTAGAAGATGGCCCTAAATTCTTGAAGTCTGTTGAGGCTGCCATCATTGATATGGTTCCTGGCAAGCCCATGTGTGTGGAGAGCTTCTCTGACTATCCTTCTCTGGGTCATTTTGCCATCCGTGACATGAGGCAGACAGTTGCTGTGGGTGTCATCAAAGCAGTGGACAAGAAGGCTGCTGGAGCTGGCAAGGTCACCAAGTCTGCCCAGAAAGTTCAGAAGGCTAACCAAATATCCCTAATACCTGCCACCTCATTGGTAATCAATGATGGAAGAATGTCTCAGAACTGTTTGTTTCAATTGGTCATCTAAGGTTAATAGTAAAAGACTGGATAGTGATAACAATGCATCATTAAATTTTCAGAAGAAAAGAAGAATGTTTTGTGGACCATTTTGGGTTTTCTGCATGTGGCAGTTTTAAGTTATTAGTTTTTGAAATCAATACTTTTTAATGGAAACAACTTGACCAAAAATCTGTTACAGAATTTGGAGACCATTAAAACAAAGTTTAATGAAAAAATAAAGAAAAAACCTATGCTATGCACATTTAGATCCTAGGAGTCGATGGTCTAGAACATTCTTAAAGTGGGCATTTTGCATGGCATGGCACGCAACCTCCATTCAGGTTTTTGTGGCTGTCACCTGCCAGTAAGGGCACCTCCAATGCCCCATCCCATCTTGCTTGTCTCCATAAGACTTACACCATTTGTTGAATGAATGTATGGGTGAATGGTCTTCCTTGCAGCTGCTACTGCAAGAGAGCATTATACAATACATTCCAATTCATTTAGAAGGTGAAGGGATACCAGACACTGGCTAACGGACATCAGGAAACCCAAACAGTCCATACTCCAGCAGGCACAGCATATGCTCCACAGTATAGCCCTGCCTCACGCAGTTCCTACAGCTCCTGCCACCCACCAAACTTTTATTCGGGCCAGGCGCATTGGTTCAAGTCTGTAATCCAGCTTTGGGAGGCTCAAGTGAGAGGGATCACTTGAAGCCAGGCGTTTGAAACCAGCCTAACAACACAGTGAGACCCTATCTCAACAAAAAATTTTCAAAAATTAAAAAATTAGCCAGGTCTGCTGGCACATGCCCATAGTCCCAGCTACTTGGGAGGTCGAGGTGGGAAAATTGCTTGAGCCAGGAGGCAACATTGCAGGAAGGCATGATTGTGCCACTGCATCTAGGTGACAGAGTAAGACCATGTCTCTAAAAAAATAAATAACCAAAAACAAAAACTTATTTGCATGAGATTGTTTCTAAGGTCCTTCTATGTTCTTATTGGTGAACAATAAGGATGGACTACTACAATGCCATGGACTTTAGCAACTGCTGTCCATGCCTAGACCAGAAGTTCTAGAGAGGGTCTGAAAAATCATATGAGAGCTTAGCTTAAGCAATTTATTTTTACTTTCACAATGACTAAAATACATAGGGTCAAAAAATTTGCATTAAAAAGAAATTTGTATTAAAAAGAAATTTGCATTAAAGCTCCTTTCATGGCAATTGATATTTCTATTCATAAACTGTCAGTACACTTTTTAGTTTTGTAAGTTAGCTCATTTGCAACATAGCATACAGATTACTCATGATGCCTAAAGATATTGTTATAATGCAATTAGTTCTTCAATATTTAGACCAAAGACCAATGCATGAGGTAAAAATCAAACAATAAGAATAACAAATAACAGCTGGGCTCGGTGGCTCAGCCTATAATCCTGTGCCTTTGGGAGGCTGAGGTGAGTGGATTGCCTGAGCCCGCGGGTTCGAGATCCGCCTGGGCAGCGAGACCTCATCTCTACAATAAATCAAAACATCAGCCGGGCGTGGTAGCACATGCCTATAATTCCAGCTACTTGGAAGGCTGAGGCGGAAGGATCGCCGGAGCCCGGCAGGTCAAGGCTGCGGTGGCTGGGAGCGGCCACTGCACTCCAGTCTGGGCGACAGAGTGAGACTCCAACTCAAAAAAAAAAAAAAGGAATAACAAATAACAAACAGGGAGAAAAGAAGTAGATTCTTTTGCTAGGATACCCTCCGGAACCAAAAATGGAGGATTTTTCTCCTCGTAATCCTTTAATGAAGAAGATGTGCACTGCTATGTTTGGAATGACAACCTGAAAAAGGGTGGAGATAAACTCCAATTTCTTCCCAGACGGCATGTTCATGCCTGCTGCACCATCTCTGGCAGATGTGAGGTGAAGTTTTCCATTACACAGCGCCAAGACTATGGAGGGTTGGGCCCAAGGCCCATACCTCCACCACATTATCTGCAGAATACAGTGAATAAGCCAGATATACCACCCCCACCCCAGCAATATACTCTGGGGCCTATTTCTAACTCCAAGATGCAAGGAAGACTGACTAGCTTAAGTCTCACAGTGAGAAGAAGAAAAAGTAGCTGTAATATACCTTTAGAAACATAATCTAAAAAGAAATGCCTCCCATCCCTCTAGACATGAGTGGCAAAACTGCACCCAGAAGGGCCGTGCAGATGTGATAGAGAAGAGTGACTTGGGTGGGTGATGTGGACATACCCTGTGAGCAGAGAAATGAGGAACACACATCCTGCAGACAACTGCTGCCATGAAAAAAATAGGAACCATGAGTTGGCTAAACTTGACTGTTCAAGAGAAGTGATACCTCATGATTTTTATATACAGCAAATCCATCTAATGAAAATACACACGTATGATCTCCAAACGACAGAATAAAGAAAATTCACAGCAATTCTCCAGAAGTTCATCTAGTCGAATATATAACTAATTTGTGGCTTATTCATATAATACTATACAGTAACAAAGATTAGCTAATGCTGACTACAATGACATGGGTGGGTCTCAAAAGGAGGACGCTGAATGAAAAAGCCAGGCACAAGAGAAAACACACAGAATGATCCCATTTACAAAAAGTTCAGGAAATAGCCTATAGTGCTGAAGTCAGGCAGTGACTTCCTTGAGGAGCATGAGGAAGAATTCAGGAGCACTGGAATTTCTTGATCAAGGGTCAGTTTGCAAAAACGAATCAAGTTGTACCATCAAGATGTGTTTATTTGTTTGGTGATACAAACTTCTATAAAAAGTTAAAAACAAAACACTGTGCAGGACAAACTAAATTATGCCCAAGGGCTTCCTGTGTATGACTGTGCTATGATGGAATTCAGGCAAACACTAGATGCTTTGGATACAGAGATTAATAAAATCCAGTTCATACTTTCATTATGCTCCTAATTCATTCACTTAACAGATACACTTGCAACTAAAATATACTTGAATAAATGAGAATATGAGCATTCTAAACTAAACAGGATGACTCCCCTCAGGTGTGGCAGGGCTGGAACAGGGCCTAAGCTACACTGAGGACCACATAAAGAAGTCAAGCTGCCTGTGAAAGTCAGGCTCTAGGTCCAAGGAGGAGTCTTTTGAGTGAGGGGAAGAACGCATGGCTAGCTGTCCTGCACATTTGAGACACAAGTATTCTTTCTATGACTATAGCTTCCTTGCTTCAATAATGTGTGTCATTTCTCTGGAGAGAGGGAAAAGAGGATGGTCAGACTCTTTATGACAGGAGAGAACCCACTGGAAAACCTCTTTGCAAACAGGCTGGCCCCCAAATCTACACAACAATCAGGAAGAGCCATTGGGGTCACCTAAAACAGTGAGCCTTTGCCACTGGAATTAGAAAACCATCCTCTCTTGAAGGAGTATGTCTTAGCTGAAGTGGCAATCTCTTGGGGTGAGTGAAAATGGAGGCACAGTTAATGATTATCTCATTGAATGGCATCTTCCCTTCTCTTAAGTCTTGTTAAATGCTAGTGAGTTCTCAGCCGAAATTCTCTTGAAAAGGGAAAGCCGTAGGGATACCAAAAGGTTGTTACCTGGACACGCATGCCTGTCTGCATCATACCATGCATGCTGTGGCCAGGGAGCAGCTCATGGAGCCTGGTCTGCAGTTCCCCAACATGCCTATGACAGGGCTAAGAGCTTAAAAAAAAGGTCTTAGAAATATGCTTAATGTGATAACATCAGTCATCAGAAGAAAACAAAATACATGGCTTCTTTCTCAAGTAAATCTGCAGTTTGGGTTTATTCTTCAATAATGTTGGCATTTTTTATTCAGCTTGATAAGTATTTTATTAGTCTATACAGGATGAATGATTTTTGAAATTTCAATTTATAAGTATTAATTCACTTAAGAATCTCATAAAGTATTCTTTCAAATCAGGTATTTCTTAAATGATTCTGACTGTACTCTCAAATGGCCAGTTGCCATGCATTATTAAACGCTTTTTTTTTCTTCAGAATCTTCCAGTAGACGTCTACAGTTTAGCTAGAAGTCTTGGCTACGATACAAACAGTGATGGAAAACACATGAGCAGTAACAAGTTTTAATCTCGCTTCTCAGTACTAACATGGACTAATCTGTGGAAGCAGTTTATTCCAGTATCACCCAGGGTACAGCCACATCAGGGGCTGTGTTGAATGGTGTTTTTTCTTTTAAATGTAATACCTCCTCATCTTTTCTTCTTAAATAGTGCTTGAGAACAACTACATTATAGATAAGTAGTACATGTTGGATAATTCTATTTTCAAGAGGACTAACTACTCTCTTCTGACAGGTATGTTTCATGTCTGTCTTACATGTACCAGTATATAATTACTTTACAGTCAATACTAAGGAGATATCTATGTTATTAATAAATGCTTATAAATATGATAAAGTTCAAAGCCTATTTCTATAAGTTCTTAGAAATCAGCCTTTAAATACAAACCTAAATTCGTGCCAATAGTATTCTAAACTTTAATCTTATATATGAATTTAATTTAAATATGATTATGTGACCTTTTTTAACAGCTAAGTGAAAATCTATCATTATGCTTTACCATAAATGTTAACATGATTGATTTTTTTTTTTAATTTAAATAAACATCTTGTATGTTCCTTTAGAAACATAACATTGCTGTAACAACAAATGATAATGAAGTTTGGGGATATCATAGATATATTAAATAACTGTAATAATATATATTCCAATATGTAAAACTATGATATTTTCTTATATGTTTTCAAAATGTGTGAATTATTTAAATGTTATTTTTACTTATACATTTAAATATCTACATTTTTCCTTGATAAACATCTTTCTTCTTCTTATGTAATGAAATGGCATTGAACAGTTAAAATGAAAAATCTATACAATTCCAAGAAAGAATACTTATCAGCAACAGTTTAGCCAGCTCTATATTCAATATGAAGGGTTAAGAACTTCTTTTCACAGCATCCATATAGTCAGAATTTAACACACTCAAAGATTTCCTTTGTCCCCTCCCAAAATAAATTTGTTTAAATCTTAGATTTAAAAAATGAAACAATATATTCAATATTCTACTCTCTAGTCATCCAAATCGAGCATAGTATTCTTTCATGTTAATCTACTCAGAGGTGTGGCAGCCAAAAAACAGTGGCCACATGGTGTAAAGATTGAGTCATAAAGAACCTGAGGGGTTTTTATTTCTCTAAAAATAAAGTGCTGTTGTTGTTGTTTTAACTACCAAAAATCACTGAGTTGATGAGAAAGAGAGAAAAAGAGAGAGAGAGAGAGAGAGAGAGAGAGAGAGAGAGAGAGAGAGAGAAAGAAAGAAAAAAGAGAGAGAAACACAAGCCCAGCACATAAAAGCATCCTGATGCTTTTAGTTTGTTTCTGGCATTAAGCAATACAGTGTAGTAGGGGAAAAAAGAAAGGATTTGCAGCCTTCTGTTACAACTAACTTCCACATTAAAAATGAATATTCTAATACCTAATCTGAAGTTTGAGACAAAATAGACTGACTTTACAAGCACAAGTCTTGAAGACACTGCAGGAAACATAAGAAAAATAAAGATGCAGGAGTTTTATGTTTTTCAAGACAGCAGCTTGGTTGTCAGTCATATTGAAAATTTAATGAAGGGCAAAATTAGTAGAAAATGAAAAGCAGTCTTACGTTCTTTAATCAGAAGCTATTCATACTTCTAAGAAAAAATTAATTTTTTAAGAAAAGTATTGTCCTTAAAAGTATCAGTATCCATGAAAAAATAGTACTGTGAATTAAGTTTCCAAATGCATGCTGGACTTTTAACTTACTTGTTAGCTTACAAGGTTATGCCTTCATTCTACCCGAATTTAGTTTGGATTCCTCCTGTGAGATATATGGAACATGGCATATCACACTTATATAATGAAATCTACTACTGGTACCTGTAAATTTATAGGCATATTTAGGCTGAGTGGAAAAGCTGCCAGGCAGAACTTTAAACATAAGATATAAAAGCACAGTGACTTATTTATCTAATAATAGTGTCTGAGAGGAAATACCATTTCACTTAGATAAAGTTTCCATTCTAAGTTTGTGGACCAGTGAAATGGAAAAAAAGGAAGCTTATATATTTCTTAGCTACATTTCTAGCTCTGTTATGAACTCTTAAGAATCTGGCCAAACCTTCTCACCTAGTCTTCTCTAGAGGAAAGTCTGTTTTACTGTCTGGAAGTAAATATGAGATTTAAATCATTTAGCTGATGTCGTGCAGTACGGTGGAAAGCACAACCACCAGTAAGGGGTTAGGAGGTCAGCCCTCATCCCAGCTACTTTCAGTGAGTTCTGGACACTCTACACCTCAGTTTTTTCCTCTGTAAAAAGAGGGCCCTGGGGGATGTCTCAAAGGCCTCTCTTAGTTCTAAACTGCTATGATTTATTAGTAACAGCAGCAGCACTGGAATAATACTCCAAATAGTCTTCCAATTAAGAGAAACTTGAAACCAAAATCCAGAGCATTCCATGAGTAAAAAACACTGGTAAAATTGGTCTAAATCAGGGAAATATTGAGTCTTCTTGAGAACAAGATATAAATATTTTTAAAGGTTTTAAAAATAGTACAATTTAAATGCTGCCAAAACTAATAATAGAGTTTGAACCATGTTCATAAACTCAAAATTTAAAAATAAATTCACATAATTAACAACTAAAATTCACATAATTTCAAAGGAGAAATAATATTCTTTATGGTCTTTCAAATAATAAGAAAAAATACTGCTATATAATATACCCTCCTGGACATTCCAACATTTTTCTCTTGGTAAACAGTTTTACAGTTGGTAGTGAATAGATTTCCGGATTCATGCTAGACTTTTAACTTACTTGTTAGTGGGAATAGGGAGAGGCTTAAGACCAACACTTCCTTGCACTTATTATTATTGTTGTTGTTGTTATTTTGAGTAAGGGTCTCACTCTGTCGCCCAGGCCGGAGTGCAGTAGCACAGTCACAGCTCACCTTGACCTCCTGGGCTCAAGTGATCCTCTGCCTCAGCCTCCCAAGTAGTTGAACTATAGGCGTGCGCCACCATATCCAGCTAATTTTTTTGGTTTTTTGTATAGATGAGATCTCATCATGGTGCCCAAGCTGATCTCAAACTCTTGGTCCCAAGTAATCCTCCCTCCTTGACCTCCTGAATTCCTAGGATTACAGGGATGAGCCACCATGCCTGGCCACTAGAACTAATTAACAAGGCCATGGAGGAGACCTAGTAACGTCAGATGAAGAGTGTAAATGATGAGCTCAGGGAGTCAAGGTTGGCCTGACTTTTTCCTTTGCGGCAACCAGAATAAGGAATACAAAAATATTAGGTTCATTTTATATGGCTAACAGAGGACAAAACTAGAACAAAGAAATGCATTTGCCAGAAGGCATTTTTGGTCTCAATATAAAGACTTTTCTAACAGCCATAGATGAGCAACAGCAGAAGATGATGTCTCGAGGTGGTGCGCTTCCTATGAGTCCTTTTCATGGAGCTGTTCAAGTAGAGTGGATATGCTCTCTGGTCCAGAATGTTCTGGAACCTCCTCCACCACCAGGTCTCCATCTCTCACTTACCAGGGAAAGGCCCAACTACTGTATACAGGCAGCTGCCTCTACTGCTCAGCAACTGGTATGCTTCCCAACTACGACAGATAATGCTATTGCCTAAAACTAGCAGGCAGAAGTTTCCATTTATTTATTTATTTATTTATTTATTTATTGAGTCAGAGTCTCACTCTGCTGCCCAGACTGAAGTGCAGTGGCCCAATCATGGCCATCGCAGCCTCGACCTGCTGGGCTCAGGCAATCCCTCTGCCTCAGCCTTCCAAGTAGCTAGAACTACAGACACACACCACCATGCCCAGCTAATTTTTAAAATTTATTTATTGTAGAGAGAGGGTCTTGCCAAGTTGTCCAGGCTGGTCTCGAACCCCTGAGCTCAGGCAATCCTCTCACTTTCGCCTCCTAAAGTGCTGGGATTACAGGTGTAAGCCACTGCACCAGGCAAATTTCAGATTTTGATTTTATATTAGTTTAGACTAAAGGCAGGGAGGGTCTCATGTAACATATCAGTCTAAGAAAGAAGAAAAAGAAAGGGAGGGACCCTGGCTGATGCTTCTGATGCCATGGATGGGCTGGCCAGCAACTGAGGCAGGGATGTAGAAAAGAAGCAACCTACCAGTTTTCTGCTCCTCCCTTCTGTGCTCTGCATGCCTTTCTCACTATCTTCTCCGTTCCCAACTCACTCCTCATACCTGATACTGTTCCTCATTCCCAAATCCCACCTAAGCACTGGAGGAGCCTTCCCTGACTGTGGCATGAGGCTGAAAGAATCTGGGAGACCATCATGTGGTGTGTAAAGGAGCAGAGGCCAATCCTCACTCCCACTGCCAGGCCACAGGGAACACCAAGATATGTTCTTGGCACCCCACGTTGGAGCTCTAACACATTCCTGCAGTTTTACATACTTTTTTAAAGTTCCATTGATCTTTTAGCTCTGTATTTCAGGTATATGATGTGTTGAATAGGTGTTTTCTAGTCCATACTGGGAACCTAAGACTTGTATAGCTCAAAGTTTCTATGAGAAAACATGTAAATTAAAACAATCAACAAATTAAAAAATACCTTCATCAAAAATCTTCATTTCCTATGGACCACAGTAAAGCGGGTTAAGTCTCAAGAAATTGTGAACCCCAAAACAATTTCCCAGGTAGGTGCTTTTGACTTTTGGGTGGAGATACCACAGAATAGTGTATATAGAAAGCCTTAAATTTTATCAACTGTGATATCAGTCTAATGCTACAGAAGTGGTGGGAAAAGACAATGTATGTAGAACCAAAGCAAAGAAAATTCTGCTGACAGACTGATGTTTCAAATATTTAAAAAGCAACATAATTTTTAAAACTATGTATGGGAAGAAAACAAAGCTTCACTTATAATCCCACTCTCTTACTAGGTCTCTATATTCTATTTCAACCTTTTTTCCATATGAACGTATTTTCTTAGAGATATCTTTAGTCCTATTTGTCTCAAACATAAAACCGAAGATTATAAGTGATAG